GGTGTCACTCTCCTGTACAGCAAGTTACAAATGAGTCACTGTAATGGATTGTATTAAATTTGAATTCAATGATATTATATCACTGCGTTACACCAGGCCACTTAAAAATTTTTTTTTACTTTCTCTAGATTATTATACCTATYGGCTTATCGCTATCATGATAGCTATTAGTTTATATATGACAAACTTTATTGGAATTTCAAAAGTCAAAATATTTGATAGTTTTTACAATAAAGTAGGAAATAAAAATTGATGATATTATGTGTCTAGTCTAAAATCAGTAAATACAATCATTTACACTTTATAATATATATCATATATTTATACTTATACCTGTTAAATGGATGGTACAGATACAGATAATCAATATTAAAACTGGATTTATATTTTATGATTCTATTACGTACGTCCTAACGTTTTGTAATCTACATAACAGCCAAATGTCATTTTTACACGAAACTGTTAAAATAACATTGTGAGAGTATGATTTAGTTATTAAGTATTTGAAAATACACTAAGAGAAGCTAAAAATCATTTGATACTCTTGTCTTCAGAATTACACAAAATTGATCCTGTTATTAGAGAAGAGCAATCAAATATTAATATTGAAACAGATGAAGTAGATGACTGAGCTTGAACTTCGTACGGCGGCGGCTGACAGGAGTAGTGGTTTGGTTAGTAGTCAAGACCAAGTTGTGTTGGACATTCAGAGAAAAATTGTAAATTTTATGCATTTTCCTGGGGAAGATAAAAGTAAAAAATACTATGGATATTTGGACAAAACTTTAAAAAATTATCCAGTGATGTATGAATGTGCTTTGGTTGCTTTAGCATTACCAACTACTCAGGTAGGTAACTACAACAATGGCCAATTATTTATATAATAAAAACTATTAATTACGACTATCTGTCCTAAAAATTTTTATATCTTTGATTTTAAGTGATACTCGTATCTTAGTTAAAAAAAAAAAATATATAAATATTTGAAATTTTATGTAGTGTTTATTATAGTATTAATGTATTATGATTTATAATACCTATAGCTAATTTTTTATTGATAAATAGGTCACAGTGGAACGTATTTTTTCCAGTTTGAAATTCATATTGAATGATCAACAAAATAAGATAACACCCAGTTTACAGAAAAACATAATGGTTGTACGATCAAACTATTTATTTGACAAAAATTAATCTACAGTATTTTTATTTATTTATAGAATTTATTCATTATTATTCATTTATAGTTTAAATTGATTATTATTTATTTGTAATATTTATTGATTATCATTCATTTACAGTATGAATTGATTACTATTATTTATTAATGTACTATGTTACTATATTAATACTCATAGTAATTTATTACCTATAATCTATATTATCATCATATTATATCATCTTATATTGTTAAAAATAAATGATCGGCTATTGGATTTATTTTAGCTAAATCTTCTTTAGTTCTTTCAGAGTCACATGATTCTGTTGGGGTATATTTGTAATTATTATTTTAGTTATTAGTAAAGAAAGGACTAGATGCAATTTAAGTTTTAGATTTTGATATTAAAGTAGGTAATAATTATTTTAAAATAATTTTAAATCCAAAATACTAAATAGTCAAATCATAATTTTAATTCATAATGTTATTTTCAAAGTTCGAAGAACGGTTTAGTTCGAGATGTTCTACGCGTATATAATAATAATAATAATAATAATCTAATAATAGGCGTATTAAAATTTTGAAGAACGTATTAGCTTATTAGTTATTACGTTCTTCGTGTAATTGTTCAGAGAACTTAATAGGTTATAACTTTTTTTAAATAATTTTTCAAAGAACTTAAAAAAGTTATAACGTTTTTTTGTAGTAATTGTTAAAATAACTTAATAGATTATGATGCTCCTCATGTCAATTCTTTAAAGATTATAATGTTTTTCGTGAAAAAGTTTAGTAAACTAAATTTAATAGTTTATATTTTCTTTCATATGAAAGACCAATAAACTAAATTAAATAATTGGTTTCGTTACATTATATTTTGGTTCATGAACAACAATAATGTTCTTTAACCGTTTTTTTGCGTTCCGTTTGGAAACATTGGCCACACGTTACGTTATAACACCCCATGTGCATAAAATAATAGATAAAAAAATACGCGAATAATGGACTAGACGATATAGTCCTTTGCAGTGAGATAGGTATCTAATAATATTATTATTAGAGTCGAAAATCGTATTCTTCCATTACTCTTATATTTTCTTGTTCATGATTAGTGGCAGTATAGGGTACCTATCTATATAATATTATCATTTATACTTCACCTACCACGCACATAGGTATAGGTGTTTTAAATTTTTTTCAAATATAATACCATTTGTATAATAATAATRTTACTGTGTTGACCTAAAAAATTATGGTATTTTTATTTTAGTGATCCTGGACCGCTACGATTGCCCGGGTATAATGTCATTACAAAATATAAAATACCCAAACAGAACAAGTTTATACGTCTTCRGATCCGTTATTATACTCGTTTAAGTATAGAACTTTTTAAGCCCGTAAACAGCAGCTAATAAACAACATTTTAAAACTGAAATATTTTTGTGACCGCTGCCGCTGTTTTTCAGGCATGCTTAAACTCGTCGGCAAATCATAGTCTGGTCGCCAATAATATTATTTATCGTGCGTTTAAATTATATTTTATGTATTATACTAACATGCTTATATGAATTAATATTATGATTCCGAAAACGCTATTTAGAAAATCGGCGGTACTTAAGTATAATAACATACAACAATCAGTATTTATCTGGTTTCAAATGATTATAACATATTTTAAGTGTTTAGGTTTAGGTTTAGTTAAAATTATTAATACAATCAATTGATAAATAATATTTGAAACAATTTTGGTAGTTTACGGTAATTCTAAAATATTTTGTTTGATTTCCCTTGGTTACACAAACAACATCTTATAATAGCCAAATTCATCCCATTCTATTTCCTCCATCGTATCCATTGTAATTAACCACGTTAAGTTTTTTGTCTTCTCAGGTTGATAGTATAGTGGTACGTACTAACACACAGTATAAAAACATATCCCCAAAAGAAGTAGGTCACATGGCGTAAGATCAGGTGACCTAGGAGGCCATGTGCCAAGCAACAGTTGAATCATTTTTAGTAACCCTGTCTTTTTAATACTTACATTATGTGAGTTTTCAACTAAATCTTTATAATGTTTTATTAAAATACGTAACTATTTACGATCCAATTGATGCACGACTTTTTTCTTTTGTTAATCTATATGCTGTAAATCATACCTATATATTTAGTTTAAAATAGCTCATTTTTTATTTTATACAATTTAATGTGTTATTTTTACAAATTGTTTTAAAACAATTTATTTTTAACTTAAATACTAAAAAAATTTGATATACTCTTGCATTGAATTTAATTGCATCAAAAGTGATTTTATTTTATAGTGAATCATGTTTATCTAAAATATTACGATAAAATAATAATCTGTACGCATAAGTTAGAACTTAATTAACTAAAATATTCTTAAAAAAACCATCGTACATACATAGTGATTATATTCTTACATTTAAGTTTAATCATAAATCTATTCCTATTATACAATCATTGAAGGTAACAGCACAAAATTGGTACTGTTGAACGCGAATCTTCCATGTTACCTAATACATTTGTAAGGAAAAACATGTCATGTGAGTGAACGTCTTATTAAGATAAAATTATTTAGTCATGCTAAAGACATATTATAATGTTATATTTACGTAGGTAATATTGATATATATATATTATATTATATTTGTTGTAAAAGACTCTGTAACACTCTGTATAATCTGTATAAMGAAGTAGTATAATTATTGTAAATTGTATTTTTTTAAGGTAGATATTACAAAACTAATTTATCAATAGATTATGATGTGTCGGTATGTGTACGTTTAATTCTCAAATATTTCAATGATTTCGTGCAATCTGCTCATACATTCCAAACATAATGTAATGTTGCATTAAAATAAGATTTTTGTTTGGCATATATTATTATACATTATGCCATTTAAATATTTAAGGGTCTCCGAAGTACGTTGGATCATCGGTACATCGTATAACCAAGACAATTCTGTTCGTACCTATATATTCGTACGCGTTATAATCATTTATAAAAACAGAGAATCTTACGGCCGAAATTTTTATCGTCCGTGGTTTGCGTGTGCTGCATCGTCCTGCCTTGATGCACACRGTCAACGTACATAATTCACCCAATTCCGTTTGCTATACAATATTATAATAAAGCCAATCAGACCGTGTTATTATTATTAATATTTTATGCTTCTCCGGTGTATAATGATAATAGTCGTAGGTAGGTAATAAACTTATAACAATATAATATGATATCGCGCTTATTACGTGCCCGCTCGCCAAGAAATCCCATAACGCACGTACCGACTGCGCGCACCACCTATACATTAGTTGTATATGATGAATATACCTAACTGATTTCTTAATTACTCAAAACCTGTTCCGTGATTTTCTCACCACTTTTTATAACCGTATATTATTATATTAGTGTTATATATATWTTTTTTTAATTCTAGGAACAGCGTGTATTATTAGTACTTACCTACTATTCTTGTGCAGTGTATAGAGGTACACTGCAAGATGTCGAATGAATGACGATGATCGGTCAAACGATACAAGGAACTCATCATCGTGACTCTGGGTGCCAGCTTTAGCTGAACATGCTATTAAAAAACATAATAATATTATTATAGCCGATATAAACGAGCGTTTGGATTGTAGGTCATTTTCGTCAGGTCCGGATTCCTCACATAAAGTGCTATAAACTTCATTTATGTTATTCGATATTTCACTGTATAATATTATATATCTGGTCAAAGAGAGAAAGAGACAAATAATTTTCCAACACGAGACGTACCTACAATATGTTGCGCGACCGTATATTTATTTATTTATTTTATTCTTTCAGACGCGGTTTAATGGATATCGACGCGTATAATTCAGATGACTCAAGTCAGTGCACGATGTACCAAGTACGTAAATCGACAATAATATTATACACATTCTAGTCCAATTATCGTCAAAAAAAAATATTAAAAATAATGATGTGTTAGAAAATTCGCCAAACCATAGATTGCCAGAGTGCAGGTCGTGATAATAAATCTATAACACAACATGTAATATATAGTTATAGATTTTATTTATTCGTAGAGAAAAAGAGTTTCTCACGACAAACCTCACGCGCATTATAACATCAAACTGTACATCTAAAAATAATAATGTTAATAATGATAAATTATAATATAATATATAGCCGCAACGACATGTAAATTAGCTCCAAAAAGCAATTAGTATAATACATAATATTATTATAATAAATATTTTTTTAAATTACCTGAAGCATCGTCATGCGTTTTCTCCGTGAAAATCCGCGCTGGAATTTAAAATGCAGAGTGCATAGCGGTTTATTTATTAATTTTTTTATACAGCCGTCTGATTCTAACAAATATACGTACACTATACCCTACATCTAAATACAATAATATTATTAATAATGCTATGCGGATTTCTATTATATGTTAATTTTGGTACTATCTATGGACATACATTGTATTTATGGTTGCGGTGCCCGGCCGTTGTACCACTTGATTCGTATGACCGGTTTTCGGCTGAGCAAAATGTTATGTTTGTATCCGAAACGAATAATGTTATAATATTATGGTAATAATATGGTTGTAGTGGCCCGTATGGATATTACGATTAAATGTGACACGCCATGGAGTATTTGTTATTATTTATTAAATTTCAAAACTGTTGTTCCTATAGCTTGTAGCTACTTGAATCTGGCCGGTTCTATAACGTAGAATACTGTTGATAAAAGCACGATGTAAGAACCCAATAATTTTGTGTATGTTTTATAACCAATTGGATTAATTCCAAGAATCGTTCAAAATGTTAAAAATCTCACCGAACATAGCAGTGATAAGTTTATTACCTATTTAAATACGTAGAGGGCTTATTATCATAACGATTAAGGCCGAAAATTTACCATATTTAGTCTCGCAATATATATTCTTATTAATTTACACTAAAATTAAATTTTCGAAGAATAAACAAATTAAAAATACTACTCGTAGTAACGGTTTCTTAATTACTATTTAGGTTTTTGATGAGAGAATAATATATGTAAATACTTCATAAGCACAGCTAATTATTTCCTGCGTGAAACTATATGCATGGTTGAAAAAGATGACTGATGTTTTCGTAAATTCTTCTCATTTCGTAACAACACTTTATATAGGTATACGTGTACCTATCTAATTGTGTATAATTACAGCTTTAAAACGCTTTCCATTTGATGAGATTTATTGGAATTGATTGAATACAAACGTACGTTTTAAATAAGGAATTTATATTTTGAGTACACAAATTAAAATATTTCTATTAGTTTACTCAAATTATAGTTTAAGGTTTGAACATATAAGATGATTTAATTATTTATTTATTTCATCAGTAATATTATTACACTTTGTTGAACATTTAAGATGAGATTTAATAAAATAGCACATTAAAAATCGTATCTAAATTGTAATATTATTTTTGTTTTCGAATTCAAATGCATTTCTAACACAAGAACAATGTATTATTAAAATGACTTCAAACTATTTTTCAACGTTGTTTACATTTTATTACAAATCTATACATGATGTATCTCTATAATTTTATAATGTAAATATTTATAAAATTAATAACGTACATCTTCAATAAGTTTTAAAAATTGTTGATATTAAYATTATAATATAGTTATAAAGTTGTACACATGTTATTCAATCAAATAACCGAAAATAATTGTATAATAGTTTTAAGAATAGAATAAAAAATATGTTGAATTCTAAAATAAACATCATTATTTGACCGTAGATTTAAGTGAATGAAACAAACAATCAAATATAAATTATTAACAAAAACAAATAATAAAAAATTGTTTAATGCATGCTCTTGCCTCTCAGCCACAATATTTATGAGTTTGACAAACTAAACATTATTGAAGGCTAACAGAGAAGTAGATACAATAATAGGTGCACGATGAAAATTGTTAGTTTTTTCTTTCATTGAAATTGTTGATTGTTAGTACTATAGAACTAGACATGAGGCCAAATGAATAACGAGCACATTTCGTGAGCACTGAGGACAATGTCAGCGGCTTCTCATTAAAAAAAAAAAATTAATAATAATAATAATAATAATAGAAATGTACCTACTACTGGAAATTAGGTCACGTTTGTGGTTGTGTATGATGTACCCGCTTGCGCTAGAGGAGTTGAGCCAGTGGATTAATCATCGATTGGCAAGAAAGTGTTAACCGATTAAGTTCAAATTTAATTTTCATTAAGCTGATAACCAATTCTATTTCTACAATCTGTTTCGGTAGTAAAATCTCAAGGGTTTTGGCGGGCGTGTTGTATAGGCAATTCCGGTACACGAAGGAGTGCACATATCCCGGACACTGATTATTTGAAATCCCTAAACGCGGCACTAAGATAATAATTCGAATAAAATAGAATTATTTAAGTTATAATATTAAATTGTATGTATTACGATGCCTTTATAGAATGCTATTGAATATCTTTCGTAAATAAAATATTAAAATGTAAAAATAAAATATGATTTATAAGATTTTATAACCTTGCATACCGACTTCAACAGAATATGAATTTTCAAGCTGGTTATAATATCCTAAATACATAACAGTTACATCCAACAGATAAATTAAAATATCGTAGTTTAATATTAGATTTAAATAACTAGACCCTAGACCGTATACATTGACGTAGTGTTGTAAATACAGTTTTAAAATATTTTCAACTAGATTTGTTTCTGKAWTTAATCCTTGTTCTGATTAAATAAAGTGTTGAGTACCTACCTATAATAAACGTTAAATTACCAAAAACCGGGGCGTTAAATTTCGATCCTGTTTCATAAATAACGAAATCGATGGAATAACCGTTAGATATTTTATTTTATAATGCATCATAAACTGGATAGATCGACGCCGACGTTAAATTTGGTATTTGTTGTAGTCGCGTTCATGGTCTGCTCGGCGTTCCAAATGTGTGTTTACTAACAACAACTGAATGCGTTGTCCATCTAAAAAAAAATCTGTAAATTATTGCGAACCACTAGTTATATAGCCAAGCTGTGGCTCTACTACGACAACCGCTACAAACATAATGTATATTATTTATATGCGAATACAAGTAGGAAAAATACGTTAGTTTTAAGATACCTTAACCTCAATCTATTAATGACGAATATACGCCGGTCATTCGTATTKGGCCAACATATTATATTATATTCTCGGCACAATGAACGCAATTTATTATTTATTTTCTCTCGTTTATTAGTTTTGCCGCCCAACAAAACTAGAGTTCAATTTTTCTTTTTAGATTAAATCATTATAACTAATTTTTTTTTACCGGTACCAATTTGCTAAAAAGACACAATACCTAGTACATACATACGTATATATTATAACACATACACGGTGAACTGCGATAATAATGACTTGTTAGTTGTTTATCACTTTGTGAGTGCAACGGCAGCTGAAAGAGGACGCGACCGTCACATTGTGTGTAAAACGATATGAGATGAATTACAATACAATTATTATCACCCACTGATTGTCAAATCGACAATGGGACCAATATAATATTATATAATATATTATACTTRGGACTGGKGCATGTATGCTACACACATGATATTTATTGTATTGTATTATTATAGTATGAGGAAATTGTTAATTTTTTGTTCACGCATATTCGTGTTTTTAAATGTCTGGTATTTTTGAAAAAAAAAATTAATTAAAATGTGAAAACAATGTAATATCTTAATAATATTATTGTAATTTAAATAATCTAACGTGTTGGTTATATTAAAATCATTAAGGAAGTAAACGTTTAAGAGATCTGTTATCAAACAATACTCGTTACGTGCGTGTGTACATATTATTTTATACACGTGTGTTACGATTTCTGAAGAATAATTTAATCGCAGCTGCACAAAAGAATATATACCCGAGAAAACAATCGAACTTGTTGAAATATTTTAAGGCTAACTGTATGACGAATGACGATAATACTTCAAATTTAGTATAATACATAAAGGATCATCAAAGATAAACATGTTAAATAATATTATTCAGTTTCATAGATGATCGGCGTGGTAGGTATATAATAGGAAACTAGTGATATCACTATATCAGTGATCGACGAAAGTATTATGATGAAAATAATATTATTATTATATTTGATGACACMTCCCACAAATTATTTATATCTAAAGTGTCGTATTATTATTGTTAATCTGAGCATATTTGATTTGTTCTCGGAAATCATGTCAGGTACCTACAATTAAATTTATACCGTAGTGCCCCATCTACTTGATATAAAATCTGCCGTGCAAAAGGTACTTTCGGCATCCGGATTACCGTAAAAGAGTACATAATATATAGCAAAAATCAATAATAATAATTAAAAAAATTTGATTTTGAACGGAAGTAGTACAGCTATACCATCATATCTGTAGGAACAATTTGATTGAACTGTTTTTTTCTTCCTATTCTATGTAAATATTTATAAGTATATAATTGTATAAAACTCAAAGCTAATGGCCTATGCTGCCGAAGCTGTAACGTTCAATAAAAAAAAAAMAATTTGATTGATTAACTAGATAGACCACAGAAAGTCCTTAGACTAGTTTTAGATGCCAGCTGGGTGGCGTGCTTGGATTTTTATGATAATCAATATCGTCGTCGGTAATTTAAGTGCCATGTCGACGGAGCTTTGATATAAATATATAATCATACTAGTATCAGGCAAACGTATGAGAAAGCTTAAACGGAATGCACCAAATATAATATGTATGGAAACGACATTTAACAAATAATGAACCGTCGTTTTGTATTTTATTATGTTATTAATTATTATTATTGTGATACGGCGTTGTACAGTGATATATTATACATATGWTG